ATTTTATCGATTTTAGCTGATTTAGCAATAATATACTATAATAAAACCATATTCATTTTTATAAGCAACTTTATTGACTTGTAGCCAATTTAGTGAGACTATATACTACTATATCAAAATTCATTTTTATTCGATTGGGGATTTATATAGGGTCATCTCTCGGGTTAAGCTAATTTTATATTTACACGTGGTTTGTGGATCTTCCGTGATTAACAGGGATTAGCCGGAGGCGCTTTGAATGATGTATAACATAAAAATTTGTATCACCCTGGCTCCCAGTCAGTTCCCGACACTTCCTCCGCAACTCAAATCACGAGATGATCGGCCAATCAGATTTCGTCTCCCCTGATCTAGCTAAGCCACCGTTAAACGAGATTTTAATGAATATCTTGTTCGAGAGTATTTATGTTATCTCAAAGATCAATGGGGCACGAAACACATAACACTCTTAAAAAATCAAAGTAAAGCTCTTTATTATATTTTTCAAAGTACATTCATGGTATAATAGCACAGTATAGAAAAAATACACATTAATGAAACAATAACAGTGGTGTGTGTAAGAGCCTAACAAAGCGCCTTAATGGCTAATGTAGTTACTGTATATTACCCCTCACATTTGACGATTCTTGGGCAGTGGCAATATCATAAGATGGTGGTGGATGAAGTGATAAGGACAGTTCTTCATGCGTGGAAGTTCTTCTCTGGCCAACCAACTGCTCTGTATCGGAAATATCCATTTCATCGTTGGTGGTTAACGAGCTAACAGGCGGAATTGTTGAGCGTCTTTCTCTAACGGGAAGGGACTGTCTTCTACTAACAGATGGCGATTGTCTTCGGGTAATAGATGGTGACTGACTTCGACTAATAGACGAACTTCGGCTTAACCGTCTTTCAGATGATCTCAATTCACGTTCGACATCCCTAGTTGATGGTATGGGCGTAATATATCCACTTCCTCTACTTCGTCTTCGGTTAAAAGTATTAATACCGCGGACTCTATCGAATTCATCCTCAGATCTCTCCCAAAAATGCGTGCGGAATTCATCAAAATATCGTGCACCTGTTCGACTTCTGGCTTTACTTTTACCAGACATAAAATTACACATAGCCTAACAATAAAATGATCAATATTAGAATTGGGTACGAAGTGGACCACCAACTGAATGGGGCAGTTCTCCAAATACAGTGATAACTTACATTATAATCCCGGACAAGGTTTGAAAATTTTTCTTTACACTGGTAACCGTTGAATGCTGTCCCAGTTTCCCGATTGATTTTAACCGCAATACTATTCCAGAAGCTTTTCCGATCCCTTCCAAGGTCATGGAAATCATCGTTTCTGTTTCTGCGTTCATCAATAAGAATACGAATTTGAGCATCAGTCCATTCAGCCATTTTTTGAAAAAAAAACAAGAATGTTTTATGAGACGGAGTGTTGGATAGGTTGTTTATATAATCTAAAGTATTGTTACGTAATAGGGGATTTTTAATCATTTGGTACAACTGAAGATCAACTGAAGATCAACTGCACATCAACCATAGTTCAACCAGAGTTCAACCAGACTTTGCATTTTTCGTTTTTGTTCCACTATTTATAGCTCCCTTTATATAACAATCTGCGGAAGATAACATATCCAACTTCTTTATCCTGGTAACTTTTCTTTCTCGAATAAATATGTGAAAAAGGTGTGGTTAATGAGAGTTTACTTTCTGAAGCGCAGTCTCAACCCGACTTCAACCAGACTTCAACCAGACTTCAAACCAATAATATCTATTCACAAGTAATTACGCACCTGGCCCCTTATTTCGTCACAAAAAAGGAAAAAATCGGGAATAATTCTTCATTATTGATTATTAATAATACGTGATTAGTCTAACGCCAGTAGGATAATAAAAATTTTCTAAGATCTCTAACAGAAGATCGCATGTGGTATATCTTTGTTTAAGTTCACAGCCTCCCCAAAATAGGAAGTTCGTTATGTAGAATGGTTATTATTACACTATCCCTATTTCAATTGTAATCAATAAAGATCGGAATATTTTGTTCATCATGGATCGAGATCTGTAGATGACGAATCACACATGCATTACTAATTCCTATTCAAAAACGGATTAATGTATGATTAGCCTATATACGTAATCTGAATGCGCTAACGTCAGTAAGATAATAAAAATATACCGTTTATCCGAGGATCTGTAAATCATAGATTCTAGAATTTCTTTTTAACAACGCCCTGTCTTACGATCCGCAATGTAAATCAGGATCTGTTTTTTATTAGTAATTTAGAACTGTGTAATAAGTGAGATAGAACATACCAGAACTCTGGGGAATGTCCATAAGTATAGTAACGCAAAAATATTGCTCTTGGCCGGGGTTATTAATAGATCCTCTGCCTTAGCGCCTTCGGCAAAAATAACGACTGCGGGTGCTGGTGACGTACTATTGCGCATAGAATATTCTGCGGATCTGCGTAGCAGTGTATTACTGCGGAGAAGAATAAATGACGTTTTACTGTGCACGATATCTAAGCCACCCACGTGATTTGAAAAAAGAAATAACCTATACGATAATTCAGTCTATGCGAATATGTGATTTCGCTTGATAATTCTCCTAGGCGGTTACCGGAGAGATAATAGGACTCATCATTGGGGAGGATTTCCTTTCATATCCTCCATCACGATAGTAATAACCTCTATCACATTCACCGTATTCATTATATCCACCGTATCCATTATATCCATCATCATCCGAATCGTCTGGCATCTCTTCATTCGTTTCTTTCACCAACTGGGGTGTGGAATCAACTTCCTTATCAACATACGCACCATCTTCCTCAAAACTTCCCAAAAGCATTTTGTAAAAATCGCCATCAGCTTCGAGCGGATTGCTTACCTCAGCTGAAATTTCCTCCGATGCATTAGTCTGATCACCCGAAATCTCCTCTTCAGAATCTATGTCAGAGACATCCTGATCATCTGGTAATTCAGTGTTTGGATTTTTGGAGAAATAATCAACAATAGTTTGAATTTGACTATCAGATAATTCTGC